ATATCGTTTAAAGACAATGATTTTTTCGTGTTCAAGTTTTCTTCGAATATTACATCACCCTTTGACCTTTTTTCATCTCCTCCTCCATTTCTCTCTGTTGCTTTATAATTTCCTACAACTCTCAAACCATACCTGTCAATTTACTGCGATGGAGATGAAAATTGCACTTGCTACCATCAAGTTGATGAATCAAGATTTGGTGTGTTTGCATAGATTTGATGGATCAAACTTCAAAAGGTAGCAAGACAAACTCAAATTCCCACTAATGGCATTAAAAATCTTCTATGTGCTTAATTCAAACTTGGAACCAATTATTGATGCAACTAAAGAAGATACTAAAGAAGTTCGTATCGAGAGAAGGAAAAGGAAGAAGACGAATTGATATGTCGCGTCACATAATAGTTGGAATGAGGCAATAAATAATGAAATGGATTCTATTATATCAAATAACATCTGGAAAATAGTTGATTTACTAAAGGGTTCTAAATCTATTAGTTGTAAAAGGGTGTTTAGAAAAATATATAATTCCGATGGAACACTCTATACCTATAAAGTTAGATTAGTAGCTAAAGAGCATCAACAAAAGGAAGGAATATATTATTTTGATACATATGCACCCATGGCTAGGATAATCTCAGTACGAATCTTGTTTGCATTAGTATCAATTTATGATTTACATGTTCATCAAATGGATGTCAAAATGGAATAACTTCACCTATGTAAATTTTGAGGTAGTGTCGCCTCATTAGAGAGTTAAAATTTCTCTCTTTAAAAGTTCAATGAAAAATGATAAGTGTAAAGCCATATTCGCACTAAGTGAGTTAGAGGAACTTGTGAAAATATAACACATGTGTGTGATTTCATTGATATTGTCACAAAGAATAACTAGTTCAAAACTTTCTAGTTACCTGAAATTTCAATAATGCTTTGTGAGATTTACACTATGGTTAGATTCAAATAAAAAATATATGATCCTTATACATGAGTGTTAATATTTGAATATGTAATTAACATTAATTTTGAATAAGTGGAGGATTGTTATAATCTTATTGTTCAAAATCAATTCGAATGAATTAAGAAATTTGAAAAAAATGGAGAAAAACATGCCATGTATATGGCCTATGCGACCGCATAGACCTTTGAGCCCTGCGGTCGCATGTGGCACTTTAGGGCCAAATGTCGCTGCCAAAGTTATAGCCATGCGGTCACATGGCTATAGCTTATGAGGTCGCATGACTTTAAAATCAAGTCATTGGCTGGATTTCTTTTGACTTTTCTGATAGTTTTTTGATGAATCAATGCACATTTTCTTGGTGAGATGGAACCATTTCGAGTAGGGATGATTGAAAACTATATATACATGATAGGATTCATTCCTAAACACAATGAAAAATATTACACTGTTCATCCAAACATTAAAGAAATTATTGATCCTTTACATATTTAAAACCATAGTTTTCACTTATTCATTTGAAGAATTACTTTGTTTTTGGTCTTATACATTGAGGCTTTATAAATCTTACAAACTATTTGTTATTTCATTCCTTTAAAAGCAAGACGAGAGAGACAAATGTCGTTTGAGAACAACAGTCTTTTTGCGTTCAAGTCTTCTTCAAATATCACATCAATCTTTGATCTTTTTTCATCTTCTCATTCATTTATCTCCATTGCTGTATAATTTCCAACATTTTTGCATCGATTTTGTGAGGGGTGGATGTTGGAGTGGCAGAGTGTGATTGCAATAGTGGCTTGTGCTCAGGGATGGACCCCACAAAATTTTTGCCTTTCTTTTTTTTTTTTTCCAAAAAATAGTTATTTTGATCTTTTTACGATCTATTTTGACATACTCATTACAGATGCCAAATGAAGTTCAAATATTGCATTTTTAATATTATTTCCAAGTGCTCACAGCCTAATTTTTTGTTTATTAATGGCGTGTGAAATAGTTAACCATAGCAAAAGTTACGACACGTCAAAGTACGCTATTCCAAACTAGTATTTCGTGAATTTAGATAATATTTCAATTATTTTATTAGCTTTTATTGTTTTTGCACGATAAATTTTTCGATATGATTAAAATCATTTTATGAGAAAATTTTACACGTTACAAATGAAATGTAATCTGAATTACTTTCGAATTACATTTACTTTAAATTTGAATTTCATTTACTTCCTGAATTAAATTTGAATTTTATTTCAATTCATTTACTTTTTATATTTAATTTGATTTACTCGCTGTCAACTCAATATTTGTCAACGAAATGGTAAGTAACTATACAAGTAGCAAAAACTCATTTGACAATATTGATAATGATGTAATTATACGACATTTTCAAATTATCAAAATATGTATTAACTTATTTTTATTAATACTATATTTTATGTTTAATTTTCGATCCCACAGCACAAATAGTCTAGGTCCGCCCCTATGATGGCTTGATGTGGTGGTTGTCATGGGAGTTATTGTCATGGTTATTAGAACCGTATCGAACCGCTAATTCGGCTCAGAACCTACATTATTTATATAGCTAATGACTATGTGATCATAATATCCATAAGTTGCATGTGCCATTGTTTGATTCTCTTTAATTTAAAACTCTTTATTTCTCATATTTAGCCTTAGTTTGATAGAAATATATTTTAATTATACATTTTATGCGATCACAACTTTTCTGCCACACATTTCATCAAATTTTATCAAAATATGTTAAAAAGTTAATTTTAATCCCTGCAAAAAAGAAGTTCATTTTAAACTACACGTTCATACAATAAAATATTATGTAAGTAAATTTAAAAATTTTCTCCATTTTTTAACCACAATTTCTCTTTGTAATAGGCATCAAACAAGTGCCAAATCATATGTAGAGCTCATAAGTCCCGTATTTGTCTATAGGTTCCTCAAACTGATTCTCCTACTCTGTTTTTTCTCCATCTATGAGAATCTACAATGTTAGTAAAGAGAAAATTCAACTTTTGTGTTGTAGAAAATAGAAATCAAAGTTCCTTAATAAGATCAAGCCAATCAAGATGAATTCAGAAATGGCTATATAAGCTCGACGAACTTGACGAGGACCAAGGAGCAGGGCCAGACGGAGATGCCGACATGCATCGAGCCATTGTCTTGTTGAATGGAGAGGCACGCGCCAGCCTTAAAAATCTGCAGCGATGAACGGAGACTTGATGAATTTCATTTTCTTTCGTTTGGTTGCTGCTGGAATTTTTTGCTCCAGAAAAAGATGCTGTTTATGTTAGTGTTTTGGCTTGGGCCAGGGCTTCATGCATCCAAATCGGAAGAGAAAATACTGTAATTGATACATAATAACGAGAAATTGGAAAAAAAATAGAAGTTAACAAATCTGATATCTTCAAAAAAATAAAATAAAATAAAAATCCATCGTCTAGGGTTAGCATCTTTCCAAGGTGTTTAGAGAATAGCCATCTCTCCACGGTGACACAGAGAAGCAGCGTTTGGAGTTAAATTCTAGGTTGATTTCATATTGATCCGATGCCTAATCTCTTCCTTAATTATCTCATTCCTTTCGTAAAGTTACAAGAACAAGGTTGGGATTTTAGTCAATTGGTGAATGAATCACGTTTGACGACTTTCAGATTAAAATCATGCACCTCGAATGCCAATAGTTTTATCAAGGGCCGGTCCTGTGATTGTCGGGATCCGAGGCGAAGTCCAAAAATTTAGGCTCCCAAAATGAATGTAAATGCAAAATTTAACAATATATTATGCAATATATTGTTAACTTAAAACTTAAGATTAAAACAACAAACAAATATCTCAATCATCTCACAATTAATGAAAAAACAATTTTCCTTCTTTCAATATTAAAAATAAAAAAATAAAAACTTTGGACCAAAATAGGCCCTTTGTGGTTTTGGGCCTGAGGCGCAGGCCTCATTTGCCTGTGCCCGACTCTGATTTTATCCACGTCCACATTCTATCAAGTTTTACCATCCACAACATATAACAACGACTTGGATTAAAATAATTATAAAGTTTAATGATTTGATGGAAACATTTAAAAGTTGATTAACCGAATTGAAACTTAGGTCGAAGTTGGCTGACTTACATATGAAGTTCATTGACACAGATACAAAATGCCCCATAATATCTTTTTAATGGATTTGGAATAGGCAAAACACAAATTTAAAATAGTTAATTATAGACTGCCACATAGTAGTCTATAACCCAGCTTGTACAAACAGCATTATTCTTGTTCGAATGAGCCAGAGAATTAAGACAAAATCATTGCCCTTTAAAAGATGATGGTTGCATGTTACAAGACCCCACCTATGTTCTCCTTTCCCCCGTCAGATAAACATTCAACACAGCCAAGTTTTTGAAATTTAGGGTTCAGAATACTTGGCCGGTGAGACACTATATTTCTTTACAATACTTGACACAGATTAAGGAAAATAGATATTGAAATCAACAAACGTCTTTCTATACAAGGAAGTCTAGCACCATGTAGTGAAGACACCCTTAGAATTTAAAATCGTAAAGTCAGTTGCATATAAATACTAAATATTATAATATATTTTGATTATTCAATTAATTTTAATTTTTTTTTTCTTTAGCCTAGTTCTTTGCTCTCAACTACATGGTATCAAAGAGGTTTTCACCTCTTCGATGAAGGTCTTGTCCCTTTCCTTGTTTGTGAGTGGTCATCCTATCTGGACCCTGATATTATTGCTAATTACATACCCTATGTCCTCCTTTGCAGTTCATGTCCATGGATGGTCAAGCAACGTAATTTATTTTTGTTAATAATAATCCAAAAAATTGTGTAGAAAAAAAAAAGGAGAAAACCCTTTTTTAAGTGGAGATTATAGGAAAAGCTTTTCTCCAATGCTACATGGCTAATCTTGATTTCAGTTTACTAGCTAGCTTGAAAGGCTAACTAAAGAGAAGATTTTGCAATTTATTGTGGATTAAGAAGCAATAAATCCTACCTAAATTAGATTTGGGCTTTTCTACCATTGTAGGGTTCCATCTTTTTAAAATTCAGTTTGTGAAGATAACAACTAGAATATAAATGGAACATATTGCAATAATGGAGTTGAAAAGGGCCATTCCCTTTGCCGCCACTTCACATTCCCTTTTGCTAAAAAAATAAAAATGCCACCATTTGGTAGAATATGCATGGATCTTCCACTTCAATTCTCGGATATACATATAGTTTTTTGTATTCAGCTTTTTGGCTCTCATCCACCACTAAATGCCACCTTTATCCCATCCTCTCTCTCAGCATCAAACTCCCCTTTATATTAATCTTTAACTACCTTCCCTCGAGAAAATAATCATGTAAATCAGCAAATTAACTCCCCATGACAATCATATCCATCCGTTGATTGATGATGGATGGCAGATGGACTGTATGCCTACACCAAGAAAATCCCTGGTTTCTCCCTCTGTGAAGTTTTCTTGATTCTGCATATGATGGCTCATAGATGGGTACATTTGAAGCTGATTCAATGCAGAAAAATCACTGCCAAGACCAGTAGTTACTGCGTTTTGGACTTGATTTTTGGTGCAGTTGAGGCCAAAGTTCCCTATGAGCGATGGGTCAGTTGTGGTGGCTCCTATTTGGGCAGCTTTCTGCAATAAAGCTGTAGCAGACGTGTTTGCTACTGAGGATTGTTGATGGGATTGTTGTTGAGTGCTAAACAAGGACGGAACACTCCCAGCAAGTTGATGATTTCCCACATCTTTAACATTAATATTACTCAAAGGAAGTGAATTGCAGTTTAACTGATTATCAGCAGCATTTGAGGGATTAAGATTTTTAGCAAAATCCCAATTCAACTGATAACTACTGGATGGTGCAGGAGGGTTTGATGAGCAGGGATTAACAAGTGGATCAGAACAACTGTATATCGCACCTCCAGAACTGACAGAAATTCCCATTTGATGCATTTCTTGGAGATTTTTGTATAGTGTTTCTTGACTTTGGAGAGGCTGCTGGCTCATATTCCACAGTGAAATGCCTCTTGTCATTGGATAATTGACATTTTGAGGGTTGCTTGAAGTTGGCTTGAAAATGGAAGAGAAATGCTGCCCCATATTAGGCCCTAATGAGAACTGATAATTGATATGCCCTGCATGGTTTTCCATTTGAGATGCTGCTTTAACTCTTTCTGTTTCCTCGGTTAAGACATCACAAAATGCCCTGTGAGTGATGAAGCTATCTCTCCTATTCACAAGAATTAGTTCCAAAACAATTCGTCAGTCTAAAATAAACACTAGAGATGTACTCTATTGTAAAATTTTTGGATAGTATTAGAGAAGAAACGAAACTAAAACAAAATCTATAATACTATTTAGTTCTATCTATTACTGCACGATAAACGTATTCTAAACGATCCACCAAGAGGTGAGCAAGCATATATAATCTCTGAATTATTCAAAGCCTATAAGTACATATCATCCTAGCATAACAAGAAGTCCAATAATTATTGATAAGAGGCAAAATAGGCATCTTTTTTGGAACATGGTACTGAAAAACAAACAGATCTTGATTATTATTCACTAGTGCCCTTTCACTTTTCAAACCCACAGAGAGAGAGAGAGAGAGTTTCATTGATCTCTTTGATTATCTTTTTCTGGGCTGTTGACAGAATTCTTCTTCCTTATAGGATGCCAAATTGCCAATGTAATGATAAAGTAAACGAGAGTGCGATGAATTACCTTGAAAATATAGTCCCGCAGTCACATTTGTATTCCCTAGTACCACAAGTCTTGGAGTGCGCTTTCCAATCTGACTGCACAGCATATCGTTTAGAGCATTTCTCACACTTCCACTTTTTCTCCCCATGCTTTCGACAAAAGTGCTTTTTTATGCCGGTTAGGTCTCCGAGAGCCCTCGAAGGATGGTGGTGGACGCAGCCCTTTTCTGGGCAGACGTAAACTCGTTTTCGCACTTCTTTGCTACTCCTTTGCTTCAGTTTCCATGGCAGGTTGTGTCCTCTTCTGTGGAGTTGCAAATTTTGATCCCTCTGAAAACCCTTTCCACAGATTTCACATAAGAATCTGTTGGTCGCCATTAAAGTCTTTGGGGACAAGGCTATCACTTCTGCTTCAGGATCTATATAATAACAGATTTATTATCGTGTCTTTAATGGAATAACACTAAGATAGTTAAGAAAAGATATTGAAAATACTCATGCTGGAAAATCTATGAACATATAAAGATGTAAGAATAATTACCCGGGGTTCCCGGAAGGCTTCTCTTCTTCTTTACTGCAGGTTGAGGATTGGATCCACTGACTGGATCAGTGGAACCAATTGAAATTAGCTTATCTATCATCTTCTTCACAATTTCTCAATACGTCTTCCCTTTAGGATTCAAATTCAATCTAAAAGAGAGATTCAATAAATATACTTTCAAGCAAAAATGTGGAATTACGCAAAAAAGGAGCTAAAGGTACTTTTAGCTCTGATACCCACCTTAACGACACTAGCTAAAAGATGTAGATTTAGATCTCTCTCTCTCTCACACACACACACACACAGAGGGAGTATTAGATTTGGAAGCAAGAAAAACTAGACTGAGAATGAATGGCTAATCTTAAGCAACACAAAGGAGAAATGTCCACTCTCTCTCTCTTATAATGCAGATTTTTATTGCTTTTGTGAGAATATGCAGAATATAAACTTTTTTCTCAAAAAAGAATATTGGTTTTTCATGGGAGGTGGTAAAAAAATGAAAGTTGTAGAGAAGAACCTGAGGTGTGTGGGGGTGCGGGAAGGAGTGGGAGTTTGGCAAAGTGAATGATGACACATATGATTGAGGGCTGGAGAAAGTTGGACTCAATGCCTTTTGATTGGAATGATAATCCCATAATTGTTTTGCTTTTTAATTTTTATATTATTTTTGTATAAAACTTAGTTCCAACCACCAAACATAAATATATACGGTGAATGTGACTCGTTGGTTTAATTAATTTCACATTTCAATTAATTATGTCTAGTTTATCGTAATGGGTTACAGTCATGTTTGGTAGGGTACCTCAAGTATAAGATTTTATCTAAATTCGATTAAAAATTCTAACTATTTTGTAATTTTTCATTACATATTTCTCACCATTTTAAGAGGGTGTTTGGTAGGAATTTTTATGTGAAAATGAATTTTTGAATAGTAAATTGATAGGAAATGTGTGGTTGAAAAATAAGAAAAAGTTTTTGATTTACGTGTAATATTATTTTAATAAAGAATGTGTGATTGAAAAGAAGAGAGAGAAAAATGCATTTTGATAAAAATGGGTGCCAAACAGAGCCTAAGTTTTTAGATGAGACTGTAAGCAAATATTATGCATGTATTAATCTAATATCATTTTCTATCGATGGAATCTAATAGTAGAACATAGCATATAAATTACAATCAACAAGAATCCAAAATTCAAGAACTCTAATTCAATAGTCTATATCTCTCTTTGTTCGATCAGTAAAATTGTAAATTCAAGCGAGATTTTGTGCAAGTTGATTGCTTTTCCTCCAATTGTATTGATTAGGATTTGAGAAGAAGAAACAAGAAGATAATTTGTTACGACAAATTAAATTTAGTTAGAAACTATAATTGATAATAACAATTGTAGAACATGTGGCCTAAAAATCCTTATTCTAATCTAAAACATCAGCGTCCCAAAAATTTAAATTATAATATTTGAACTTTCAACAACTTAACTCATCTTTGATTAATTTGGAACTTAGTCGAACTCACCTTAAGAAATCAAACAAGTTGAATAGCTTGAACACATTTTTAATTAAACTTGAGGTAATAATTATTAAACTAATAAGGGTCAAATATAAATGATATTATTATTAAATAAAACCCGACTTAAATTAACATCGTGACATTTATATTATTCCAGCTCACTAAGAATAAACTCAGGATTGATCATTTTATATTTTTTATAAAATATTTTTAATTATACCGTGCCATCAAATGTACTAAATATTCCCACATGTTATGCTAATTAATAAAAAATGAAATTATTCTCGTGTTAATGTTAAAATATGTATGCATAATTGTCTTAAAATAAAATAAAAAAAAAAAAAAACATCGTACATGTGATGTGTAGTAGTAAACTCAAAGGATTTTTTTATTTTTTTTGGCATATCATTTGTTTCATTAATTTTCACAAAGAATGCAGAAGCCATGCACGTACCAAACTTTCAAACTAAGTATAAAACAAAACGCTGAGAAATTTTGAGTAAAAAAGAGAGTAATTTGACCTTACGACAGTTTGGCTCTGGTCCCACTTTACCATCCAAGAAAATTTTTACAAAAATAAAAAAATAAAAATACAAAACTACTCCAGTCTCCACTTGACCATTTATTTGCACACCCAACTAAAATAGTGAACATTTTTGTGCAAGGAGGCAAAGAAAGGAAAAAGGGATTGGTAAATTAAATGGATATATATTTGATTGTTGAATTATTACTTTTTTCTTGACTCTAACTCTTTTTTAATGTCTATACAACCAATTTACTTATTTCTATCTTGATTGAAAAAAAAAACATTTTTTTTATTGTATAATTCACTTATGAGATATTTATAAGCACAATTTTTAAACCTATAACATGCACTTAGTTAATTTATGTAAGCATTTTGTTTGAAAGTATATATATATACACACAGTAAATATCAATAATAAAAGACTAGAAATATTAATCAATTCAGAATCTCATGAATAATCATATGAGAGTTCAATTACGTTGCATTGCCAAAATCCATAAAGTTTATATTTATTCATTTGACCCAACTTTCTTTTGTGCCGTTCCAAGAATTCGAACAGAGTTTTCTACTGGCCCAACATAAATGAAATAGACTTAACTCTCCATTGATACAACATGCTAATTTTTTCATTCATTTCCTTTCAGGATGAGTCGTTTACTAAGAATTTGTCAAAGTGTTTTGTTCGTATTTATATATTCAGTAATTAGTAGGGAAACGCTAATTCTTGCATAATTACAGCTTTAAAAAATTACTTAAACTTTTACTGAATTTTAAGAGATCCATTTTTTCAAAACAGCCGTGATAATCTTATTAAAGGGGGAAGGATGCTACATATACACTAGAGTTTTACAAACCCCTCAGCAAGTTTAAATAGATAAAACAAACAAGAAAACGAAATCAAACTCAAACCTATATATATGTGTGTGTGTTCATTCTTGAACAAATTTTTTTTTCTACTTCATCTATTCCATGACCTAAACAATGCCCTATCCATTTATTCATTTGACCCAACTTTCTTTTGTACCGTTTCAAAAATTCGAACAGAGTTTTGTACCGATCTAATATAAATGAAATAGACTTAAAACTCTTCATTGATACAACATGCTATTTTTTTCATTCATTTCCTTTCAGGATGAGTTGTGTACTTAGAATTTGTCAAAGCATTACATTCGTATTTATATAGTAGGGAAACGCTAATTAATGCATAATTACAGACTTAAAAAATGGGCTCTGTTACATTTACAGGGGGTGTGTTTTACAGATTCCTACCAGATCCTCACAATCGCAGGCTCCGATGTATTTTTTTCATGTGGGACAGACTCCTGTTGGAAATTGCATTGTACACTAGCAATTTCCTTAAAAAATTACTAAACTTCTAGTGAATTTTAAGAGATCTAATTGTTTAAAATAGCCGTGACAATTACTGACAAAGGCAGTGAATTTTTTGAAATTAGAAAAGACGTCTATTTGTGGGCTGACTTTTCCTGCAAAAGTTTAATCATAATCTAATGATGTTTTTGGTGTGTGTTTGTTTGTTTAGAATATATGTTTGGAGTTTAGTAGTTGAACTGTCGTGACCAAAGAATATTCTTCCCTTCTCCAACTCTGAAAAAGGTTCAACATTCAAAGTCCAGCTCTTCTTACACTTGCTGTAAGATTCCCTCCTCTCTCTCTCTCTCACAAAAAACGAAAAAATAAAAATAAAAATGAGACACCTGTGTTTAGAAATTTAGCTTAACAAATTAAATTATCTACTATAATAATATTTTTCGTCACATATTCATAAAATAAAATATTCTACACACAAATTAATAAAAAAAATTTAAATTTTAATCACACGTTTTTCAAAATATACTATTCAAAACTCTATAATTTCTCCCATAATGAAAGACAAACAGACTCTTAGAATGATTTACACAAATCCTTTTTTCATTACTAACAAAATATATCAAAACGTGACTTTTTGTTTAATCCATACAGTTGAGAGCACTTAAAATTTCGGCAAAAAAGTCTTGTGTGCAATTTGAATGATAGAAACCACTAAATGATTATCGAGTAAACAATTCAAATAGTGTTGAATTCCATAGTTGAGCAATTCCTCATAAATATATACCGACTATATATTTGAAAATTTGAAAATAACTAAATCGTAATTAGTAAATACAACTAAACGATAGTTTTGATTTTCCCTCTTCTCATACATTTTTTACTGATATCGCTTAATTTTCACAAAAATACAAAAATTATTGTCTTTAAGTAATTTATATCTTCTTATCTATTATTCAATTCTCCATATGTGTGAGTATATATAATGCATAGTTCTTGGTCAGAGTGAACTTTTATTAGATTTTGTCGAAGTTAAAACATGCATGGACATTTGAAATAGGATGGTTTAGGGAAAAGTAAATTGTTGTCACCAAGGTTATGTTTGTTTCTTTACTTGTCTTTTACTTGAAAACGAAAGGGAAAACTTTGTTATTATACTATTGTTGTTACCAGACAAAACCCTAATTATAAGATCTCTGAAAGTATTTTACGAATTTTGAACTGTCCTCGTACACTTGTACCCAAGAACTTGGAATGGAATATATGTCTGGTAGCATAATCATGTTGTAAAACTTTGGATAAATAGACTATTGTCTTTATAAATATTTTGTAGGATGTAAAAATTAGTGGACCTCTACTAATTTATTATTAAAATAAGAAAAATACAAAACATTTAACAGGGTTCAAAACTCATTTATCCTCAAAATTTATTTTCTACCACGCATTTTATGAGATTCATAATTTTTATTAACTTTTCAACGGCACATTTTATCCAATTTTACCAAAATTTATCAAAAATTATTATTATTATTAATTATCTAAATCAAATAGGCAGGTAAATAGATGATCTTCAATATACGAGGCATACGATTATGTTATATTTAGGATATAGGTGAATGCATGACGTAAAATTAAATTAAGCCCCTATTTGGTTTAGTTAAAAATTCATTTTTTTTTAGTAAATTTTGATAGAAGTTGATGAAATATTTAGTTGAAAAGTTAATAAAAACTATGAATCCCTATGAAATGTGTACTTAAAAATAAGTTTTTTTTTTAAAAAAAATAAATAAAAAATGGGACTAAATCTCAAAGCTTAAGTTTTAGGCTATGGGACATACTTTTGTTGATTTTTCATCTTTGCTTCTTTTTAGAAGTGCAAGTATAAATTTAAATGGAGCTTTTTTTTCGTTATTTTATTTTTGAGAATATTTGGTGAGCCAAAAATTTTACAAGCTTGGAAAAGGACTATTAATTCTACCATTTTGAGAGTATAACCCAAAAGAATAATAGATTAGGATATGGAATCCATTAAAGAAATCCATATGCTTTTGCCCTTTAGAAAGAAGGGGAAGATCTGCCTTTTCAGAAACCAAATTTATACTACTTTTCATTTATATATTCTACAATTTCCTTCCATTATAGATGTTGATGTAAAAATAATAAAACCAAATGGATCAAATCTACCAA